TTTGAGTAGGCAACACAAAGTATGTAAATACTGTGTTTTATTTAATCTAAAACCTTGCCAATGAGTTCTGTATTTTATCTCCTAGGGCTAAAAAACAAAACAAAACAAAACAAAACACCAAATGCCCTTTTTACTTGCTAAATCCCTTTTATGTGAAAAGTATGAACAAAAAGGAAGATTTCTTCACTTCCCACATCGTTTCTATATTCAACTTTTTCCATCAGATTTTCCTTTTTTAAAACCATGAATATTGTTGTGAAGATAATCTGAATGTATAGAAATGGATAAAATGGAAAAAAATTTAAAGTGGCATTTAAATTGTTCTTCAGTTAGCTTATGTAATGATTTAAAATACTACTTTTGAAATATAACAGTGAAAACAATTTTTCTAACATATTGCCTAATTATTAATAATTTTACAGAAACAAAGTGTGAATTTTAGTTTGCTCTCTATTTAAGAATATTATTTGACAGTGAGTAATTAAATTATCATTTTTACAACATTTAAACTATTCTTTAGAATACCCAATGAGCTATGTTATCACAGATGCTAAAAATAAACCCATTTGAGGCTGGGCACGGTGGATCATGCCTGTAATCCCAGCACTTTGGGAGGCCGAGGTGGGCGGATCACCCTTGGTCAGGAGTTCAAGACCTGCCTTGTCAACATGGCAAAACCCCATCTCTACTAAAAGCAAACACACACACACAAAAAGATAGCCTGGCATGGTGACACATGCCTGTAACCCCAGCTACTGGGGACACTGAGGCAGGAGAGTTGCTAGAACCCAGGAGGCAGAGGCTGCAGTGAGCTGAGATTGCATCACTGCACTCCAGCCTGGGCAACAGAGAGAGACTCTTGTCTCAAGAAAAAAAAAAAAAAGTTGGTAAGAGATTGGTGATATATAGACCTAAGTAATAATGTTCAAAGAAAAAAACATAGTAAGCTGCTTCAGGAAAAATCTAGCATGGATCTCTCTCTGAAACAGCAATCATGATTAAGAACAGCTAACGACAACAATCACAGGGGCCTGTAGATATTCTATGCATGGCTTACCCTTGCAAATAGTATACATGGGACCTTGATAACTAGTAGATAACAGTCATCAATCACCTGCCTTTGAAGGTACATGAAATCCGTTGTCATGCTGCTATGACGAAATATCTGAGATTGGGTAATTTATAAAGAAAAGAGTTTTAATTGACTCACAGTTCCACATGGCTGGGAAAGCTTCAGAAAACATACAATTACAGCCAAAAGGGAAACAAACATCCTTCTTCACATGGCAGCAGGAGAAAGAAGTGCCAAATGAAGGGGGAAAAGCCCCTTATAAAACCTTCAGATCTTGTGAGAACTCACTCACTATCAGGAGAACAGCAAAAGGGCAACCATCTCCAATGACTAAATTACCTCCCAGTGGGTATCTCCCATGACAAGTGGGGAATATGGGAACTACAATTCAAGATGAGATTTAGGTGGGGACATAGAGCAAGACCATATCAGTACACTAATAAGAAACATGTGTAAATATAATAAATAGATATTGTTTTAAGAGAGACCATCTATAAATACTTTTGATAATAGTTTATCTCCTTTCAAATTCTGATTTTTAAAAACCCTGTAGAGAATTTTGCAGGGAAGAGGGCTTCCAAGAATTGTATGTTCCTCTTTAACACCCTACCTAAAAAAGAATTAACATTAATCATTTGGAAATTGGCACACTGATGTATCCTTTGTTCTCCTAGAGGCAGTCCTAGTGTAATTAAAAACTAGGACTCTGGAGTCAGAGACCTACGCCTATAACAATAGCACCTATCTTACAGGATTGTTATGATTAAATAAATAAAGATATCGGATGTAAAGTCTTTGGCCTAGTGCCTCAAGCAAAACATACTATCAATAAATATTTCCTATAATCATTAAATTATATATTATTCAGAAAAGCTATATGGGAAGTTTACAAATAGGAAAAAAGATGGAGGTTAAATAGTACCATAAAAATAGTCCACACATGAAGATAAGGTGTGAATATGCATCTAAAAAATCATATTCATTTTCATAACAATATTGAAAAAATCCACTTTTGTTTACCTGTTAAGAATTGAGTTCAAAATGTCGTATATCTCCAGCAACATTTAATGGATAATGCTAAAGCACAAAAGATAACATAGAATGTATATTTTCCTCAAGTACTTAGTTTCTATGATTTGTGTAGCTTTTGCATTAAAAAAAAAAATCAACCTCCAGAATTAAATCCAAGAATAAACAGATTTTTTTTCCTCTTCTGTTTCAAAAGGCAGGTATGTACAGGATAATATATACCAACACCAGCTACAATCAATTACAGTAGTCCCCCCTTATCTGCTTGGAATGTGTTCCAAGACCTTCAGTGGATGCTTGAAGTCCTGGATAGTGTCAAACCCTATATATCCTACGCACGAACTTATTTTTCCTTCTTTACAATTGCAGGTATAGAAGATCCGTTCTTACTATATTTCTCAGCATACGATATTTAAACCTCACTGCATGATTTTTTTTCTTTCCTTATTAAGTAGAGAACTTTCACCTTTTCACTTAAAGGAAGCCATATGGCTTCTCTTCTGCTTATCCCCAAATTGCCAGCATCACTACTTTTGTGCTTGGGGACCGTCTCTAACTAAAATAAGGATCACTTGAACACAGCACTGCAATACCTTGACAATAGATCTGGTAAGTGAGATAGCTACTAAGTAACTTAAGGGCAGGTAGCATAGACATCATGGATAGACGCTAGAGAAAGAGATGACTGATGTCCTGGCAGGATATGAGTCTTCATCACACTACTCAGAACAGCGCACAATTCAAAACTTAGTTATGGTTTATTTCTGGAATATTCCATTTAATATTTTCAGACTATAGTCAACCAAAGCTAACGGAAACCATGGAAAACAAAACCATAGATAAGGGGGAAATGCTGTAGAACATTTATAAGTGTTAGTTTATATAACTTTTCATGGGATTATATAATTATTCCATTGTCTATTATACCACGTGGAATCACTGTGCTTGGGGAGTGTGCCACAGCCATGTGAAAGTGCCCTTCTTGCTGCCTCTCCATTCCTTTTTGTTTGAACTTGTTGACATAAACATAAATAACGGTGACTCCACAAAGTTCCATAAGACATGGATTGTTTTCTAATTGCAAGGATTGGGCTGGAGCGCTAAAGGGAATTACATAAAGAAGAAATGCCAATGTAGCAGATGTGATTTATAAAGAGGCTCCTTTTCTGTATCACTTCTCAGAGCAAAATCATATCCTGTCAAATATACTAGGCAATTTAGTATTTACAGGAGACAGTTTTATAGATCAGATTTTACTGGTGAAAATTACAGCTTCTTTTTGCTGAGTCAAATACCCACCTCTGGTCAAATCTTAAGTGTACTGCTATATTAGCAAAACTTCTCTTTTATAAATGTGAATATACAACAATATATAAAAAGAAATTAATTCATAAAATAATTAGGCTAATTTTTTAAAATTGTACTTCAAGTACTGGGGTACATGTGCAGATCTTGTAGGATTGTTGCATGGGTACACACACGCCATGGTGGTTTGCTGTCTCCATCCCCCTGTCATCTACATCAGGCATTTCTCACAAAAGTATCCCTCCCCAACCTCCCCACTCCCTGATGTCCCTCTCCTAGCTCCCAACACCCAACAGACCCCACTGTGTGACATTCCCCTCCCTGTGCCCATGTGTTCTCATTGTTCAACACCTGCCTATGAGTGAGAACATGTGGTGCTTGCTTTTCTGTTCTTGTGTCAGTTTGCTGAGAATGATGGTTTCCAGATTCATCCATGTCCCTACAAAGGAAATGAGCTCAACCTTTTTATGGCTGCATAGTATTCCCTGGTATATATGTGCCACATTTTCTTTGTCTACCAGAGGTACAAAGAGGAGCTGGTACCATTCCTTTTGAAACTATTCCAAACAATACTAAAAGAGGGAATCCTCCCTAACTCATTTTATGAGACGCACATCACCCTGATAACAAAACCTGGCAGAGACAAAACTAAAAAAGAAAACTTCAGGCCAACATCCATGATGAACATAGATACAAAAATCTTTAATAAAATACTGCCAAACTGAATGCAACAGCACATGAAAAAGCTTATCCATCACGATCAAGTAGGCTTCCTCCTGGGGATGCAAGGCTGGCTCAACACATGCAAATCTATAAACGTAATCCATCACATAAACAGAATCAAAGACAAAAACCACATGATCATCTCAATAGATGCAGAGAAGACCTTCGAAAAAATTCAACAGCCCTTTATGCTAACAACCCTCAATAAGCTAGGTATCAATGGAACGTATCTCAAAATAATAAAAGCTATTTACAACAAACCCACAGCCAATATCATACTGAATGGGCAAACTCTGGAAGCATTCCCTTTGAAAACTGGCACTGGACAAGGATGCCCTCTCTTGCCATTCCTATTCAATATAGTATTGGAAATTCTAGCTAGAGCAATTAGGCAAGAAAAAGAAATAAAGGTATTCAATTGGGAAAAGAGGAAGTCAAATGGTCTCTATTTGCATTTGACATGACTATATATTTAGAAGACCCCATCGTCTCAGTCCAAAATCTCCTTTAGCAGATAGGCAGCCTCAGCAAAGTCTCAGGATACAAAATCAATGTGCAGAAATCACAAGCATTCCTATACACCAATAACAGCCAGAGAGCCAAATCATGAGTGAACTCCTATTCACAATTGCTACAAAGAGAATAAAATACCCAGGAATACAACTAACAAAGGGTGTGAAGGACTTCTTCCATGAGAACTACAAACCACTGCTCAAGGATACTGGTTTTAATGGAGCATAGTAATCACCAAAAATTTCCCTTTAGATAGAATTCTATATCTCTAAGGAAAATTACACCCAACTCAAATCCTAAAGGATTCACTAAAGTGAATGAGGCAATGCAGAAATAAATAAGTGAAACAATTTCCTACCAGAATAAAGTGATCCTAACATTTCCTTTCTTCCAGAAAGCTCTTGCTGATTTTCCCCAGTCAGGATAAGGTTTGTCCTGAAGCATCATATCAGTGACCTGAAGCAATGAAAGAAACTTATTTAGCATGTTCAGAAATCTTAAAATCAGATTTAGCTACAAGCCTACAATTTATATTCTATTGAGAATAAAATAAGTGCACATTTTAACATTATAATATATGCAGAAATAAAAATTAGGATATACTTCATTCAATTAAAAACTTTAATAGTTTATTTGACTGTACATACTGAATAAATATATGTAAAGTCACTCAACATGTTAGATATTACGATTTTTTAAAAATTAAGATTACCTTATATAAGCAGGTAACTTTCAATATTAAAATCACCACAGAAACGAAGCATATGTAACAAAATACTATATTCTTTTAAAGTTTGTCTAAATCAGAAACTCCGAATTGAAGTATGTCCTGATGTCTAGATTTTTAGTGACATTATTAATCAAAATATTATCTTCTCCTTTTCTCTTCCTTACTTCTTCAAGTATGTGTGTGGTAAAGTACTTGTACCCAGTTTCATGGCATATTTATTCTAATTAGCTAGCATTCTCTCACCCGCAATTCTACGCCTTCATCTAAAAATGTTCTTCCTCTTTTCCCACCTGCACAGATTCTGCCCATCTTCTGAGGCCTAAGTCATATTACTATTGTGATGTCTTCACTGTTCTCCCCAACTTATAGAAAACTTGTGGTTCTTGACCCATCCTTCTCATGTCATGTATCACTTTCTAACTTCTCTTTTACTTACTTATATACTTTTTTCTCTCTTCACTAGGCTTTGAAATTGACAGTGAAGATCTTTATATCCCTCCTAATGTCAAAAAGATTTTTATATACTAGGCCAAAATATTTGCTCAAAGAAGAAATGATAACATAAATTAAGATATAAATGCCAGTTTTTAAAGATCCATTAACAAAGTACATTGCTTATTAACCACATCACATATTAATGGTTTCAGCAGAAGCCCAAAGTATTATAAATAGTTAATCTATTAGAAAGGTATTTAAAAAATCCAAAGGGGATCTAGAATAAATTTCCTTAAAGTGTTACATAAATGTGTGTGTATATTATACATGCACACATTTTTCCCATTTCCAGCCTTTCCTTCAAGAGAAGAGAACATTATTCCACTATTTATGATTTTAACTAATGTTCAAACCCAGACAAGATAGATTCAAATTAAGAAAACAGAAATGAAATGAGATTTACTGCATTGAATAAGGGAATATTTTCATCACCCACTAAAATAATTTTTTCTCTTGCCCTTAAACCTTTATCATTGCATTTAAGTGTAGCTTTCAGCAGTAGCCTTGAAATGGGTGATATTTAATTGTTTATGATGAAAGATTGTGATTCAGTGGAGAGTCCTTTTAGATTAGTGACCCCTTCAATAGTACTGGACTTCCTGTGGAAGGCACATCCATTCTCAAGCAGGGGCATCCAAAAATGGTCTCTGGAAACATTCACTGGCATGTCAGTGCTTCACATGGTTACTTAGGTGACACAATCAGAATGGTGGATAAGGAGCCTAGTTTCCAGGAAAGATCTGATTTTAATTCTTTATATTATTTCTAAATGTCATTTCTAGGAATAGAGTTCCCAAGATTCTCTTGGTTGGTGCGAACCAGAGTTAGTCCATTCCCCTTCACTGAGTAACACTACAGATTTATGTAGGCTCTATTTAACTTATGGCCTACAATAATTTTACATGATGTGGCTTCATTGTTGAATCAGAAAAGATTCAACAATCATGCGTGGTTTTAATGTAAACTTTCAGTTCATTTATTTAAACTTTCACTTTATAAATGTGAATGTAACTCATATTAAGAATTCAAAAAGGAAAACATTTTTTACTTATTTTTAAAAGGAAACTAGTTAATTGATGGTTTTTTCATCTGTATATTTTCTTCTTGATCCTTTAAAATTACAGGATTATATTTTCTCACTCAAACTAATGCCCATGGATTGTATTTTCCATCAAAATGATTCATGGCACTTATAAAAATGAGTAAAGGGAAGACGAAAAGATAAAAATTAATCATTAATCAAGTGAATTACATTTTACTGAAAAAAAGAATAAAAGTGAAAATAGAGAAATTTAAATCTCATGTACTCTTAGGTATAAAAAGAGTTCTATATCATAACTCCTCTTGAGGAAAGCCACTTTTCCTTTATAATCTTCTTTACTTACAGGTCTAGTGTCAAATATTTTAACAAAACCTAAAGGTTACATGGATAAGTATGCAGATAAATATTTCTTGTTACACCAGACTTTTAAAAGATTTAATTAATTCTCTTCAGCAATATTTATTCTGTTCCAGAAAGAATCAACACGGTAATAAATATTTCCAAGGGACAGAATGATTACTGGGTGGGTTTTATTTAATTTTCAATGTTTTCTCCAGGGCACTTTCTGGGAAATGCTTATTATGTTTTCTAGAAGGAGGCAATCTGCTGCTGTATGACCAATTATTACAGCTGCATGTTTTATAAAAATGACATTCTAGAATAAAGCATTTTCTCAGGAAAATGGCGAGATGAAGCAAAAAACATTCTTTCTGATGCCAGGCAGCTGATCTCTGTCACCTCCAGCTCCAACTCTTTAAGTCATATCATCAGATCAATGTCAGGTCACTTGCAGCTAAATTGGCAGAAGCACAGACAGTCATTAAAGGGATGCATTCCATAAAGAAAAATCCAATTACGTCCTGCATTAGAGAAATCAAATTCATTTCTGGTGTTGGTCAAGGACAGCCTTTGTGGGAAAAGATGCAGGAAAGGGAGACTAAAGACAATGCAACGAGGTTTCTGTGTAGCATTAATACACAAAACCTGTGAATGCTTCTCTCACAGGCAGGTATTAGAATTTGAAATTGCAAGTCTTTCTATGCTGGGAGAAATTTGCTTAACTCTTTGAGTCTCACAATCCTTCCCTTCCTCTTTCCTCTCTACTAGGTCTATCAGAACCTCATTATGGCACTCACCACATCATGGCTTGTCAGATAATCTTTTTCAGTAGAATACAACTTATTTTAGAACACAGATATTGTGCAATCTGAGCAAAAACATGAATTTTGAGGTTTAAAAGTCAGTAAATGATTGTAAAATTTTTATCTCTACAGGAATATAGGTGAAATCTTTGCTTCTCTGTGAGGTGAGCCTATGTGGTGCCAGGTAATAACAGCATGAAAATAGCAATGATGACAATTATACTTCACATTTATTATACAGCTTCATAGATTACAAAGGTCTTAATGGATTTTTCTTATTAACCATCACAGCAACTTTGTACAATAAGTCATTATTTTCCACCTTTCAGCAAGGGAGGAAGAGAAGTCAATGAGGTTAAATAACAGAGCAAGGTCGCACACCTATTATACCATTATGTACGCTATTTCCAGAGCCAGCCTGCCTGGGTTCTAACACCAAATTTATCTCTTAGTAGTCTTCTTTTTTTAATTTAGGGCAAGGTAATTGACACCTCTGTGTCTTGGTTTCTTATTAATCATCTATGATCACACAGTACATATATATTAGCAGGTGATATAATAATTATGGGTGTGTTATTGTTCGTATCTGAGATTTCTATCCAATCACTTTGCTTCATATCAGTAACACATTACACAAATGAATTTAGAGTCAAAGGACTTGTTTCTATAAAGATAAGACTACCACACACTGAGCTATTAGAAAATGATAAAGACATAATTTAATGTTAAAGTATGATACAGTCTATAATTGTTGTGAAAAATCAAAGGAAAGGAGGTTACTAAGGGCTGCAGTCATCTAAGGCTTCATAAAATATTTGTGTGACATAACTGAGTATTAACTGACATTTTGTATGATTCTCTAGTTTTGCCAGTCTTATCTTCTTAGCCTGATTACAAGCTAATTCCCATGCAGATAGTACATATACTATATCTAAAGTTATATTTGATATAGTTGTATGCTAAGCATGTGATATTTGTGTAAAATATTCATTGATTAGGGATACTAGGCCAAAATATAAAAATAACCATGGCCACTAAGAGTGGGGTATCATTTATGATAAACGAGTGTTAGTCTGTCAATAAACAAGCATATACATAAAGAATATTAATGAACATAATAGATAAAATTGTATTTGATGGTATGTCATTTTGTTTCTTTCTGCTTAACAATATATTCACATCACTCAGTATCAGCACATATAAAGCTGTTTAGATAGTTTCCTCTTGCTTTAGTCTCCATCATGCCTTTTAAAAAATTTTTTCAACTATTTATTTTAGGTTCAGGGAGTACATGTGCAGGTTTGTTGCATGGGTAGATTGTGTATCACTAGAGTTTGGTGTACAAAAGATTTCATGACCCAGGTAGTGAGCATAGCATCTGATAGGTAGGTTTTTAATCCACACCCTCCTCTCACTCTCCCCACTCAAGTATCCCCTTGTGTCTGTTGTTCCCATCATTGTGCCTATGTATATTCAATATTTAGCTCCCACTTATAAGCGAGAATGTGCAGTATTTGGTTTTCTAGTCCTTTATTAATTTGCTTAGGATAATGGTCTCCAGCTGCATCCATGTTGCTGCAAAGGACACGATTTCATTATTTTTTATGGCTGCATAGTACTTTACTATATTTTCTTTATCCAGTCCACCACTGATAGGCATTTAGGTTGATTTCACATCTTTGCTATTGTGAATAGTGCTATAATAAACATCCATGTCCATTTGCCTTTATGGTACAACAATTTATATCCTGTAGGCATATGCCAAGGAATAGGATTGGTAGGTCAAATAGTAGTTCTATTTTAAGTGCTTTGTGAAATCTCCAAACGGCTTTTCACAGTGGCTGAACTCATTTACACTCCCACCAGCAAGGTATAAGCAATCATTTTTCTCTGCAACATAGCTGGCATCTGTCATTTTTTTTTTTAAATAATAGCCATTTTAACTGGTATGAGATGGTATCTCATTGTGGTTTGATTTGCACTTCTCTATTGATTAGTCATGTTGAGCATTTTTTTTCTTATGCTTGTTGGCCATATGTATGTCTTT